ATGATCTGAGAAGATGCTTTGCAATATTTCAATGTTTTTAAATTTATGAAGCCTTGCTTTATGGCCTAACATATGGTCTATCATGGAAAAAGTTCCATGTCTTAGATTGTCTTTTGAGATTGATTGAAGAGAAATATTTTATCTCTGAGGCATTACCCTTTATGTCCATTAACTCTACTATCACTTTGGGTTGAGTAGTCAATCTACATTCAACTTTAGCTTGGCCTTCTAATTCATGTCTCTATTTCTTTTCAAAATTAGATTGCCATCCACTCTGGGGACCAGTTTGAAAAATGCCAAGGTTATTTGCAGACAATTTCACAAGTGAGTAGCTCATTTAAGAATTAGCATCGTCATCTCTGTCCACTGCTTTACTCATCACCAAAGGGGATCCCTTAACAATGTTTCCAAAACTATCTTTTGTAATAATTTCTTGTTAAACACTGAGGCATTGTTATTTACATCCAAGACAAAGGCAGCCATCTGCATGCTCCCTACCCTGCAGGCCAGCTCCCATAAGTGGCTGTAAGGGTCAGAGTGTTGGGTCACCTCTGCTACCCCATCAAGAGGGTTTCTCTAGAATCATTTCAACATGGCTTCTGGTCCAGATTTTGTTTTTAACTCTAAAGTAAAAGACAGAATAGGATTTAGAATGTAAGTCTTAGGAGAATTTTTTCTACATCAGGAATATAAGCCTCTGGGAGGAAAAAAGTGTGTCCTGATAGCAGTACCCTTACTAATGTCCAAAACAGAATCTTGTCTTGGAAGTTGTTGTTGTTGTTGTTATTTGCCGTTGAGTCAGACCCGACTCATAGCGACCCCTCCTTGGGTTTCCGAGGCAGTATCACTATGGAAGTAGATTGCCCAACATGCCTTCTGAGGAGTGGCTGGTGGGTTTGAACGACCAACCTTCTGGTTAGCAGTCAAGTACCTTAGGCACTATGCTACGAGAGCTAGGCATGTTGTAATTTATACCCAGAATTTCTATTTCTGCAGCATAAATCTGTACTGTGTCCTCAAAAACAAGCTAGGAACTTAACAAACACAGAGTCCTGGAGCCACACAGCTCTTCTCTATCAATTTTCCTCACAATATATAAATATCTGTTTTCCAAGTTGACGGTAAAATGATGTGCCTTTAGAAAGCATAGAGACTCTGCTTTCCACCAGCTCCTTCAGCTCCAGCCCCAGGTCCTTGGTGATGTTGCCCGCCAAATACCCTTTCTCCAGCTCCTCAAACACAGAATAGAGGATTCACCAGGCTTAGGCCTCCCACAATGCACCCAGGTTAGTGAAGAGCAGGAGCAGCCTGCTACCATGATGGCACCTCGGCAGACCTGCCATTGCTCTTCCAGAGATGACTAAGGTTTTTCTGATCAAAAGCAGCCATCAGTTATCATGTATAACAATCCCCAAAAAGTTTCTGTCTTTTCTATTTAAACCTCTATTTCTGCAGACTGATCCTCTCAATCCTGGCTTGACCAATTGAGAGTAACTACCATTTCATTTTGCATACATACATAGAAGTATTTCTTTCCTCACTAGGTGAAGATTTCAATTATTGTGTTATAATTCATACACACACACACACACACATTAACTTGTCAAGTTACACACACATACAATATAGGGAATTCCATCTGTATCCCATTTAATCTATAAATAAATTTTGTGAGGAGATAATTGATAACTTTAAAATATTGAGTCTTCTAATTCATAAACATCATGTAGTTTTCCATTTATCCAAATCATCTTAATGTCTCTTTATAAAGTCATATAATTTCCTCATAAAGATCTTGTACTTTGTTAGCTAGACTTATTCCTAGCTACATACTTTTTATGTGATTGTAAATTGAACTTTATTTAAAATTTAAATTTCTATTTGTTGTATATAAATTAATTTTATAGTTTTTTTTTTAAATTCAGAAATCTTACTAAACTCTCTTTTTAATGTGATATGTAATCTGTAGGTTCTTTTGAATTTTCTGTAGACTCCTTAATATCATCTGCAAATAATGACAGCTTTGTTTCTTCCTCTCCAACCAAATAACTTGCATTTCTTTGCCTTATCATTTTGGTGAAGACTTTTAGCATAATATCAAATAGATGTAATAGTGTGCATCTATGTCTTGTTTCTATTCTTAGAGGGACACTTTCAGCATTTCACAATTTATAATGTTTTTCTGCTATAGATATTCTGTAGGAGCTCTGGTTAAAATGGTTAAAAGATGGCTGCTAAATAGAATATCTGCAGTTCAAACCCACCAGTGGCTCAACAGGAGAAAAGACATGGTGATCTTCTCCTGTAAAGATTACAAGCTTGGAAACCTTACAGCGCTGTTCTACTCTGTCCTATAGGATCACTATGAGTTGGAATCTACTTGATGGCACACAACAACAGTAATATAACTATTGTGTAAATATCATTTGAAGATTGAGGACATTCCTTTTTATTCCTAATTTAAAGAGGTTTCCCCCTCATCATCAATAGAATTTTATATATGTTTTTTCTGTGTCTACAACAACAACAACAAAGATAATTATGTGTTTTTCTCCTTTAATCTATGTTTATGTATGAGGTTAGTTTTAAATTTTAATCTTGTTGTTGTTGTTGTTATGTGTCGTAGAGTCGGCCCTGACTCATAGCGACCCCTCCTTGGGTTTCAGAGGCAGTATCACTAGGAGCTCTGGTAGCATAGTGCCTAAGGCACTTGACTGCTAACCAGAAGGCTGGCGGTTCAAACCCACCAGCCACTCCTCGGAAGGAAGATGGGGCAATCTACTTCTGTAGTGATACTGCCTTGGAAACCCAAGGAGGGGTCGCTATGAGTTGGGTCTGAGTCGATGGCACATAACAACAACAACAACATCACTACAGAAGTAGATTGCCCAACCTTCCTTCCGAGGAGTGGCTGGTGGGTTTGAACCGCCAGCCTTCTGGTTAGCAGTCAAGTGCCTTAATCTTATTCTTTTTAATTTCATGACTAATAGGCCAAATCAATAGCCATTGCTCATACACAAATGCAAACACATACCTCTGGCCAACTTTCCTTCCAGGAAAAGTGAATAATCAGATGTACTCCTTGAAGTTCTTTCTCATTGAGAAGAACTCCCTTTCCTACCATCAGAGCCAGTCCTGTGTGGGATATGAAGCTCTCTCAGTCTTCTTATAGGTTTTGCCAGAGTTTTGTATGATATTATTTCTAAATCAGGCTCAAATTTTCCTTCTTTATTCATCTCATTACAATGAGAGAGCATCCAGTGAGGTCATAATTGTAGATTTAAAGGGAGGTGGTAATGCACACTGTCAACCACTCAGAGGGGGATCTATGTAGGAGATCCTGGATAGAATGGGAGAACAATATGGAACAAAACTCAGAATCATTTGGAAAAAAAAGGTGGGAGGACCAGGTTTGCTTGTCTGATAGAGCCTGGTGGAACCATGAGACTATGGCCCCTAGCTTCCCTTCAGGTCTGGAATTGAACACACACCTGCGACTTCCAGCCAAACAAAAGAGAGGCATAAAAGTTGAACATGAACTTGCGGTAGATACACTCCTTGGAGAGAACAATCATGGGAGAAAGAAGGACTGTGTATGCACAGGGAGACAGATCAGGGGGCAAGAGTGCATGGAGGGATGGACACAGGGAAGAGATAACTATCAGGAGGAAGTGGGAGGGGAGCTGTTGCGTTTGGGGTAAATTGTAGTCAGTGTCATGAGACAAAGTGTATGTGAACTGCTGTATGGAGCATGAATTTGCTCTGTAAATTTTCACTCAAATCACAATTTAAAAAAACAGAAAGAGAGAGAGAGGTGGTAATGCAGCAGAAGTAGGTGTATTACTGGTGCAAACCATCCATTCATGAAAATACTTAAGCTTTTTGGACTTGTTCATGTTTGATCTTGTATTACCACTTCTTGAAGATGGAGTGTTGCTACATATGCCCAATTTTATAGTCCGCTGCATCAGGTAACATCTAATGTGTTATCAGGAGCTCAGATCACATATTCATTTAGCGTTTTATGTTCAGGAGTTCAATCTCTACAACACTTTAATAGTAATCCACGAGTATTATGGAATTGAAATCTCTGGGGATCAGATTCCGATTTTATTGTATAGGTTTATTAGGGAATTCTTCAGGTATTAACACTTGTGGAATTGAGGTAATGGAGGATTCAAGAGAAAAAAAAAGTGTGGACCTCTGTAGCTAAAATGGCCTTGAGAGTAGACCTATGTTAGGCTGAAATTGCCAGGCCTTTATATTCCTTCTTTTATCAATCATTGGTTATGGTCTTCCCTGGGAAGGATGTGATCTGAGGCAACCCCAGAAAGGATTGACAACTCACCCTGCCTGTGATAGCACTCCAAACAGTACTCCCAGAAACAAGTTCTTCCTTGAAGGGGGATCTTAGTGGTGCATTTCCACACCCTTACAGTCTATCTTCTGTGCTGCTCAGATCCTCTTCATAATATTCAGGGAACACCTTCATAATCTTCAGGATTATGGTGGGCTTCACTTCCTGGGTGAAACTTTGAAGAGAAGATTTAATGGGATGAACTATAATCCCCACCAGTACAACTGCCTTTAGGGTTACAACTAAAAATCATCATCTCCCTTCTTTACTATCCAGTCTAGATTTCCTTTTCCCCTTCACTGGCATGACTGCTGGCTTCAGTGACTTAACTGATGGTGTAAGGCCTGAGAGACATGAGCCCTGGTCATGCTCTTCTCAGTTTAGTGTAGTTGTATTTATCCACTTAACAAAATAATTGGCAAAGGTGCACCAGGAGACTCCCAAGTAGGCCAACACATTATTATTTTTTTTTAATTGTGATTTGAGTGAAAGTTTACAGAGCAAATTCACTTTCCATACAGCAGTTCACATACACTTTGTCTCATGACATTGACTACAATTTACTCCAATGCAAAAGCTCCCCTCTCACTTTCTCCTGATAGTTAACTCTTCCCTGTGTCCATTCCTCCATGCACTCCTGCCCCCTGAGCTGTCTCCCTGTGCATACACAGCCTTTCTTTTTCCCATGATTGTTCTTTCCAAGGAGTGTATCTACCTCAGGTAAATGTTCAACTCATATGCCTGTCTTTTGTTTGTCTGGAAGCCACAGGTGTGTGTTCAATTCCAGGCCTGAAGGGCAGCTAGGGGCCATAGTCTCAGTGGTTCCACCAGGCTCTATCAGACCAGCAAACCTGATCCCACCCCCCCCTGGCTTTTTTTTTTTTCCAAATGATTTTTGAGTTTTGTTCCACATTGTTCTCCCTCTCTATCCAGGATATCCTATGTAGATCCCCTCCAAGTAGTTGACAGTGGTAGTCGGGTACCATCTAGTTCTTCTGGTCTCATAATTGTATAGGCTGAAGATTGCATGGTGTACCAGTTGCTAGGACTAATTGTTTCCATGAATCTTTGTTTTTTTTTCATTCTTCTTTGCTCTGGATGAGGAGAGACCCATCATTGCATCTAGATGGATGCTTGCAAGCTTTTAAGATCCCAGTTGCTACTCGCCAAAGTAGGAGGTGGAACAATGTTTTGTGTAGTATGTTATGCCAATAGAGCTTGATGTCCCCTGTGACTATGGTCCCGAGCCCATAGGTTCAACAACTCGGTCACTCTGGGTGGCTGGCTGTGACCAAGAAGTGACTACAACCTTGTCCCTTGTCAGCTCTACTATATTGTTGCTGTTGTTGTTATGTGCTGTCAAGTTGGAACCGACTCATAGTGACCCCTCCTTGGGTTTCCAAGGCAGTATCACTATGGAAGCAGATCACCCAACCTTCCTTCCAAGGAGTGGCTTGTGGGTTTGAACCACCAGATTTCTGGTTAGCAGTCAAGTGCCTTAGGCACTACACTACCAGAGCTCTACTATACACCTGGGAATTCTTACAGAACATACAAAGTACAGTTGTAGAATTGCCAACCCTATGCATGGCCTTGGGTACACTCCCCCCTGCATAGACATACCTAATAGTTCAGCCTGTCCACCCATCTATCCACCTACATACCCATGTTTGCCATCACTGAAAATGCAGTACTATATGTGCAAAAAGGTTCATCTTTGTTGTCTGTACCTCCCATGTACCTCTCTATGTCTTCCTCTTCCTCAATGCTACCATGCT